ATGAAGGTGATGCGGGAGTGGGACGTCACCCTGCAAGTCCCGCAAAGGTCCCTGGGGGCCCAGGGGGGGACAGGGAAGACATGAGGTGCTGAGCCCCAGCAGGGAGTGGCTCAGGGACCCCAGCATCCCACTTTGCCTCCCACCAGAGCACAGGGGCTCAGGTGCAGGTGGCCGGCGACCTGCTGCCCAACTCCACCGAACGGGCTGTCACCATCTCAGGAGTGCCAGACACCATCATCCAGTGTGTGAGGCAGATCTGCGCTGTCATCCTGGAGGTACCCGCCGAGCCCTGTACCCAGCCCAGGGGGTCATGTGCTGCCCGCTTCCGCTTCTCAGGTCTTCCCATACCCAGCTAGACCTGGGCACTGGGCTCCACCTGCATGGAAGCACGTGATGCCGCTCTGCCTCGGTGGTGCTGGGGTCTGTGTGCAGCTTGCTGTGGGCACAGGGAGGCAGAGGGGGTCTGGGGGGACCTGAGGGGCTGCGGAGGCATTCAGCCTCATCTCTCATCCCCTCCACCTCCTTCCCTCCCTCTCCAGTCGCCTCCGAAGGGGGCCACCATCCCCTACCACCCTGGTCTCTCCCTGGGCACCATCCTGCTCTCTGCCAACCAGGTAAGGGGCTGCAGCACCCTCGGGGGCATGAGGTGGTGAGGGGGGCCAGCTTGTGCCAGTGAGGGGTGACTGGTGAGCTCAGGGTGGCCTCTGTGTGCTGGGGGAGTGGTCTGGGGTAGGGGTCTCCACCAGGCCCTGCAGTGATGCCCCTTCCTGTCTCCCCCAGGGCTTCTCCATGCAGGGCCAGTACAGTGGAGTCTGTCCCGCAGAGGTGAGTCTGCTGCCCTGGCAGCCCATCCTTGCTCCCATGGGCTCCTCGTTCCCGTCAGGATGGGTGCTGCCAGCGATGCCTGTCCCGGGAGGCACTGGGTGCAAGCATCAGGCCCCAGGAGGGGACCGACGACCCTCTGCTGTCACCCGTAATGCCTCCTTCCTCCTCCCGCTGCCCGGGTAGGTGACGAAGCTGCAGCAGCTGTCAGGACACACGCTGCCCTTCGCCTCTTTAGGCCACGCGCCCTCCATGGTGCCAGGTGAGCGTGTCCAGGCTGGGGGCATGGGCTGCCCCTCCTGACCCACCCATACACCTGGCCTTGATAAGGGGATTCCCATCCCCTGCACCCTCTCTGGTCCCAGCTCCCCTGGTTGGCTACCTGAGAGAGCTCTGGCACAGAGCTGCTGGAGACACCCCCCCCTTCCTTCCCCTCCCCCTTAACATCCCGGTCTCTCCCTCCAGGTCTGGACGCCAGCACCCAGAGCAGCTCCCAGGAGTTCCTGGTGCCCAACGACGTACGTGCAGGTCTTGGGGGTGGCGAGAGGGACCGCAGCTTGCCCCCACCCATGTGTCCCACCCCGCAGCCACTTCGCAGGGCTCAGCACTCCCTGCCCTACGCAGGGGAGGCTCTGCCTCGGCTGCCAGAGCTCAGGAGCAGGAGGGGCTGCTGGGGCAGAAGCAGCTGGAAGAAAAGGGAATCTGAGACATGGGACAGGGAAAGTGCTTGGCCAACACCAAGGAGGAGCCTTGGGATGTGGCAACCTAACAATGCCAGCCTGGGGGAGCTTGAGTGAGACCAAAAAGCAGGGTTTGCCCAAGGAAAGCAGTGCCCTGCCCTCTCGATGCCTGCCTCGGCTTCTCCACTCCTCCCAAGCGTAGAGGATGGCTGGGGTGAGCCCCTGGGAGCTCCCTGCTCAGCCTGGCTCCTCTGGCTGCTCCCAGCTCACCCTGGTTCCTGCCCCTCCAGCTCATCGGCTGCATCATCGGCCGGCACGGCAGCAAGATCAGTGAGATCCGGCAGATGTCAGGGGCCCACATCAAGATCGGGAACCAGACCGAGGGCTCCAGTGAGCGGCACGTGACCATCACGGGGTCCCCTGTCAGCATCACCCTGGCTCAGTACCTCATCACAGCCTGGTAGGTGCCAGCCTGGGGGACACACACACTGGCTGCTACCAAGGGCTCTCACCTCCCCAGCACCTGAACGTGGCTTTTGGGGGACACCCTCACTCCAGCATCCTCAGGAAGCATAAGCTGGGTGGTACTTTGAGGTCCTTAGATGGTGGGTGCGGCACCTGAGACTCTGTGGGGTTTGAGCCCAAGCTTTTTAGCCTTCCCCAGCAGGATGCCCAGGATGTACCATGCAGATCTGTGCCAGAAGGGATGGTGCGTGCAGTCCCTGCACCCTAAGACGGGCAGGTTAGGTTGGGGCAGAGGACCCCATGATGGTCTCTGTGGTCCTCACCACCCTATCCTTCTCCCTCTCTTCCTCAGCTTAGAGACAGCCAAATCTACCTCCCAGGCAGCGCCAGGCCCTGGCTCCATGGACCTCAGCGTGGGCTTCTCCCAGCCCCTCACCCCAGGCTCCAGCGCAGCGCTGCCTGCCATCGCCCCAGCTCCCCCGGCCCTGCTGGGCACCCCCTATGCCATCTCCCTCTCCAACTTCATCGGCCTGAAGCCGGTGTCCTTCCTGGCACTGTCCCCCTCCTCCATGGCGGGGCCCAACGGTGGGACCGCCACGACCAAGATCTCAGCGGCCAACGGCACCAAGAAAGCCGATCGGCAGAAGTTCTCACCCTACTGAGCCCCGTTGGCGGGTGGGTGAGGAGGTCCGGGGTGCCACCTAGTGCCAGGGACACCTCCCCGCTGCCCGCCTGTCCCCCAGATTCTGCCGGGCACCACGTG